GATTTGATCGCTATTAACTTGAAGCAATTTAATGCGACTGAAATTAATTAATTAAATTAAAGTAAATCGTGGAAAAAGCGTTGGGCTTGCCCACATCTAGATTTCTAAATTTACAAGTTACACTTGAGATTAAATATCAATTTATCTCGGAAATTAACCGTTCGAACGAGTATTTGCCTGGAAAACGAGCGCATTTCTTCATCAAGACGAAGACGGAGGATGCATTAAAAGGAGAAAACAACAAAGTGTAACGTTAAATATATTAAGCGATTTTACGACAAATTAATGAAGCGTAAAATAATTAAAAAGAACTTCTGATCTGCGAGCAGAATCGAGATAATTATGAGATCGGGTAGCTCGAGGTACAAATTAATACCTGAAAACCTGCCCTTCTATTAATAATTTATAGTGAATAACAACATTTCTCATTCGCATCTTCGATATATGCGGCGCGCATTCTCCGTAATTAAAATAATCTTTATTTCAGTGGAAATAATGCGACAGTGAGTTGTTATTATCAATTTTTTTTTAAGTGTTATCGAGTTATTAGTGGATATTTCATGGGTTTCATTAAAACACTTTTCGTATTGTTTTTCTTGTGGCGTGGGTTGTGAAACTGCGGTAATAAATAAATGCGATAATTATAATATTTCGGGTGTTGAGATAATGCAATGTATCCAATATATTCGATAAAAACAAGCAATAAATGTATTAGAAGAGCGAAACAATATCAAATAACAATTAAACACCTGTGTTTGTGCTGTCTCTTATCAATGTAATATTTAATAAATTACACACGTAATAAAACGGCATTCGATTGTAATAATAACATTCCGGGTTTTTGGCGGAATGGGAATGAGAAATATTGATTTTCTTCGTGTGAGATTAAAAAGGAACGAATTCGGTTGCTGCTGTTGCAGGATGATTCAGTTAATGCGTATGCAAGCGAGGGAGATGAAAATCCCCCTTGTTTCATTGCAATTAGAATCGTTTCGAGGAGGGTCGGAGATGCCGATTGCTGGCCTAGTTACATAACAACATAACGTAATGCTCAGACACGTACCTGGCTGTGGTGCAGTCTCTGTAGAGGGTGTCGAAGTCTTTGCAGGAGAGCAGCTTGCAGCGGTTGACTCCCGGCTGGATGGCGCCGAGTCCTCTAAGGATTCGCACTTGTTCCACGTTGCAGACTAAGGGGACGATGTCGAGGCGCTTGAGCTTCGTGTAAACTGTGTGGAGGCCGCCGACCAGGTGCTTGAGGAAGAGTTCGAAGGCCTGCGGCAGACACAGCATCGTGTCGCCGGCGATTATGAAAGCGGCGACCTTTTGGCCGCGGTAATCTACCAGTTTGCACTCGTTGGCAGTTGGGTCTGAGGTGGAGATCGGCGGCGGACTGTTGTAGGAACGCGGTGGACCGTGGTGAGCCATCAGGTCCAGGGGATTGTGCAAAACACCGAGTGAGTTCAGGAGTCCGAGACCCGGGGGATGAAGATGGCCAAGACCCATGCTTCTGACCAAATTGGCTGTGGACACCGGCGGCGGACTTAGTGGATGTGCCATGGACATCGGAGGACCTAGGGGACTGGCTTGACGCGGACTGTGCACTTGATTGTGGTTATTGTTGTTGTTATTGTTGATTGGAGAGGATGGTGGTTTGACGGCTACAGCCGGGGATCCGGAAGACGCGTGGCTACTATGATCTGAGTCCATTCCCGTATTGTCCATCATCGCGCGCTACGCACTCCTCGTCAAGAGATCAACACACTTCAAAAGCACTGCACATATACGGATGGTTACAGGGAGACGAATACTTCGCAATCTATTCTATCACTGACTGGCCTTTCGGAGAAGAGTGTTGCTTCGAAGGGGACAGCAAAAGACAGTTACAGATACAGTCGTGGCAACTGGAGTGAACAGATGGATCTGTAATAGTCTCTGTAGCTGTGAGGGTGATTCCGATTGTTTGATTGTCGGGCGGGGCGGTGCGCGCTCACCAACCAACCTGGAGGAAGCACGGACACAACCGGTACACTCGCAGGATACAAATGTAATAAATAAAAACATTTCGAAAAACTGATGCAAGTGTTTGGAGGCGGTCGCAGCCGCCTGTCACGCCCTCCGACTTCCATTGGTCGCGGCCGGGTGACGCTCCTCTCCCATTGGCGCCCCACCACTCACCGACGCCTCGCACCCGAACACGCCCCGCGCTACTGGAAGAACTTCGTTTCTTTGTAAGTCCTCGAGGGCGGATGCAGGAGAACTTGAAATATGAGTTGTGACGTATTGATAAAGAATGTCACCGGCCTGTCGTTGCGGAATCAATACATAAGGTGCGGTATGGATACATTAGAAAAACTTCCATTCCTCCTCTTTCTTTTTCCTTCACTAACTTGCAAAAAAAATCGCCAAATTTACTAAAATTATCTGTAATTTGCATAAATCTACAATATTTATTTTTCAACTATGCTTTAAATCTAAAAAAAAATAAAATAAATTCCACATAAGATTTAATTATTAATAGCAAATTAATTTCACTATAACAGCAATTATTCTTTTTTACTTTTATTTTTCAGAACAATTAATTTTTGGTAGATTTAAATTAAACTATTTTAAAATACAAAATTTTCATTTATAATTTGTGTAAATTTACATTTTTTAACATCGCGCTAAGTTATTTTTATTTGTAACATAAATTAAATTCCACATAATATTTAATTATAAATATTAAATTATATTTTTCTGAATTGTTCTTTTGTAAACTAGATTTAAAAAAAAAAACAATTGAAAAATAACTAATTTTATGTATTTTTATTTAATTTTACAGAGAGTTATTTTTTGCTTGAAAACGTAAATTAAACTTCACATAATAATCAATTATAAATTGAAGCAAGAAAGCTTATGATATATAGAATTTAATTATTAACATTTCATTTTTAAAACTCAATTAAGATAAAAAATAAATTTAGCCGAATAAATTAAATTTATCTATAAATTGTATAAATACACTTTTCAACTTGGTTTAAAATTATAAAACATAATGCTAAGTTATTATTTATTATCAACATGAATTAAAATTCATAAATTTACATTACATATTTGAAAGATATATTTTTTTTTCATTTTGATTTTATTAAATTTACTTTTTTTATTTTTAATCCAACACTTTTTCTTTCATTAACGTAAGAAAATACTGATTTTTTAAATTGATTTTCATTCTAAATTCAATAAGGATTATAAAAATATGATTACAGAATCATAGAAGAGTTCCAACACTTTTTCTTTCATTAACGTAAGAAAATACTGAAAATATAAATTAAATTGTATATACTGTATACAATTTAATTTATATTTATATAGAAAGATTCACTAATTTGTAACATATTTCAAACATTTCTTTACACTCCAATTTATATCAAATTAAAATAAATTAAATATTATATAATTTTGTTCTATAATATTCAAAAATAATGTGGTTTCAATAAGAAAATATTTACTAACCAAAAATTGTTTTATTTTGAAAATAAAATAATGTTTATTTAATAGACAAAGATAAAAGTATAGATCTTTTTCGAAATAGGATTGTTGTTGTTTTTTAGTGTTGTTGTCGGTGGGTCATTGGTTTTTTTGGTCAGTAGGTCACTAACACGAAAGAATCCCCCACGCAATACAGTGTTCGTGCTTCATCCCTCTGAAAGCGTGCAGTATTTTTACTGACCGACTGAACAACTGCGGGGAGAGATGCTCTCACCCCAATACAACGAAGATACCCCGACCCCTCGCTGTTCTCGCCTTTATTACACCGAATACAATCGGACTCAGAAATGTGTATATCTACACATATATGTTTGTATCCGTGTTTTCCGCGTGAAAGCACCGGCCTTCTTGTCTGTCTGTATATACATATGCGTGTCTCTGTCTGTCTGCATGCATGTATATATCTATTTATTGTTTGTTGTTTTGTTTGTTCGATGTAAGTGAACAACGCGAACAACACTATCACTGCTACAATTGGGAGCACTTGAAAAGCTCGCTCCCTCTCGCTAATCGAATGCTTAATCCGCACGCACTTAATGACTGCTACTCCTACCTCGTTGAATGGCAAATTGCCATTGGAAATAAATGCGTTATTCGCGTTTTAAGTGGACTCCAATTACAAATGTCAGCACGCCAATTGAATCAATTTCGCATTAATTGATTGCCGCTCTGATACGGAGCGCACCAGATCAATAATTTAACTAAACAGAATGCGCAATCATTAAACCAGAGTTTAATTAAAACATTCTAATAATAGCACAAACAACAATTACAATAATAACACGCATTACACTAAAAACAAAATCTGAACAAATTCATTCTTTTTATTTTAAGCTTTATAAATATTACATATTTATGATTAAATATCTTTTAATACAGATAATAACCAAATGAAAATGTTATTGAATTGAAAATATTTATTTCCAATTTAAAAAATATTACACACTTATAAAGATAAAATGACAAATCAGTCAATTATTTAAAATATAATGTAAAAAAGCTAAGTTTTAAGCCGAATATTAATGATAACTGAATTTAATAAATGAGGTAATCAGATTAACAGGAATATTTTTCCCTTCTCATAGTTATTTTTCTGTTGTTGTAAAAGAATGCAATTTTCCAGTGAAATAAATTTAATGGTGAGCGGTTTTTGGGCAATATTGCTGGTTAAAAAATAAGAGAAAGACATATGTGATGTGGGTGAGTGAGAGAGAGGTATATAGAGAGAGGAAACGAGTGCGAACATATCGGGAATAAATCGCTGGAGCTAAAGTGATTCCATTCCGTGGTCGGAAAGGCATATATAATATTTTTATGGCGGATTTTCAAGTGAAAAGAGTCGTGATCTATAGATGTATAATAATATAAAGAGGGCACTTTATCGGCACTAGCCACATATACATACATATGCAGACCCCCGATGTAATTTTATATGACACATTATGTATTAAAAGCGGCCCCGCCGTTGCGGAAAATTGCCTATGATATGTCGATATATCAGTTTTAAAGGTCTTTCGACGCACATGCATTTGAATAAATATTGAATATAATATAGATTCAAGCGCCGGTGATTCCTCCTCGCCTTATGCTCGACGTCCCCATTCCGTCCATCTACATATTTCACTCTTCACATTCTGTACACACAGCTATCTTTTTACTGCTTGTTACAGCGTTTACAAAAAAAATATATATCTACCTTCTTATAACGGATAAAAACCGTTCAACAATATAATTAATATTGTTTTTAATTTCACTCTTTGACACATTACAATTCTTTTGTAAAAATAACAATATTTTTTTAAATAAAATCTATAACTTATCTAATTATAAACAAAAACATATTAATATGATCATAATAATAAGATTAAAAAAAATAATAACTGTTACAAAGAGCTATTGACCATTAGAACTAATTGATTCAAGTTTTTTTTGTATAGTTTTTGCTTTCAACACATATTGAATTGCGTGATCAAAAATATCCGTATAATATGAAAACGTTATCAAGCATTTACTTTTCTATTTGGGCACAGCTGTCTCGACTATTATAACTTATTATATGGCGTTTCTAGAAGAAGAAAAAAAAAAGATGGTAATCTTTAAAGCGTTGAAAATTTTATCTAATTTTATTTAAAGTATAGTTCTTTGACACATTGATGAAAATATATAAAAAAAACTATTTTGTTTTTAAAATTAAATATTTTAAAGCTTATCTTTTTAAATTTTAACGTTTTGAAATTTTTATATGATCAAAAATATTAAAGTAATAAGAAAAAATTCTAAGTTTAATAATTCATAGGAAAATTATTTGTACAATTAATATAATGTTAATACATTGATTTATTGTTTACTAAAGAGTAACAGTGTAAATATTTATAACAAATTCAATATATAAATAATTATGCAATTAAATATATATATGATAAGTTGCACATTACGCATTACTTATTAAATTTTGCGTATTTGAAATAAATGAAAATTTGCGGAACACGAACATTTGATGCGAATTTCATTGTACAGAGTTATAAAATTACTTTTTTTTGTAGTTTCATACCAATATTTTTTTTTACATTTTTTTTTTGGTCGGAGAGGCGTTGATGATCGATCTCGTTGGTAACGTCAATTTCCGTTAAATTAATTGCGTCCTACAGTTTTACAAATTTTATAATTGCTGTTTTCATGTCACCATTGTGGCCCTTGTTTCCATTAATTCAACACACATGCAACGCGGCTCGCCTCGCCATCGCCATGATGATGATGATCATCATCATCATCATAACTGACGCGATTAATATTTTTACAAATACAGGTAATTGTGTCGCTCCGCTATCTGTCATCGGCATTGTTTGATTCCACCGGACCGCTCTCGGAAACCTCCATTCACCACCAGACCAGATAATAGAGTCTGATCATATCCCCGATATATCCAAATATTATATTCACCATTATACCACAACACACTTTCATTATAGTGCCAACCAAAAATACAAACATAATCATCTTTCTTCAGCAACAGTTTTTTTTTATTTATTTATTTTTCTGTTAATTTTATTTTCTTTTGTTTCAACTATTTGTTTCCTATTCTTCCTTTTGCATTTTTCCAATTTAATTAAATGTAAGTACTCTTTCAGCAGGCAACATTGTTCGAGAGTCTCATTGTCTTCAATATTTTAGAATTGAAGACAACTACAACAACAACAACAAAAAAAGACTTACACTATGCATTAATATCTCTTTTTTTTTCGGACGAGACACTGTTATTATAAATATTATATTTGCATAATATTTATAATAACAGCTACACGAAATAACTAAATATATATTTTTATGCACATTTATATACAAAAAATGCTATGATCGATAAGTGGCGGCATTTAATAACATACTGTTTCACAGCAACAAAAAAAAATATTGGCAGTGCATTTATCCCGAAACGGTATGCAACATTGCACTTAAAAAAGGTACAAAAAAGGGTCTGCGCCGATCATTATGGGGTGTTT